TCTAAAGACTAGCTAGAAAGCAAGAAATCAAACCATTTCCTGCTTCCTAGCTAATCTAAATCTCCAGGCACAGCAGAACAGATGATGGTTGGAAAAAGGAAAAATAGCAACTTAGCACACAAGTTTGCCGGATAAGGAGTGAGTGGGTGGGGAGGGTTCCTGCAGGCCATGTGGGCAGCACGGCCTTGTGTTTCTGCTCAGCCTGGATTAATTGCTTTGGGGGCTGCTCTGGGGTTGAGATTTCTCTGCGGCCCACCAAAATTTTCTCATGGTGCACCAATGAGCTGCGGCCCACTGGTTGGTGACCGCTGGTCTAAGGTATATTTAAATACTGTACAGAAGTTAAGAATTTAAATCCCTAACTTGGCCCATGACACTTGAAATCCAAAGCATCAATTGTTTCAGAGTTTTAAAAAGTAATCTTTGAGGTAGAGAATGACTCACCTTGTGTTAGCTGAGAGAAACAAAGGTAAACTCTGAGTATGTTCAACAGCTTTATGCTGGCTAGCTTCTGTGAGTGACAAAGAGAGAGAGAGAAGGAAAGTATATGTCATTGACAAGCTTAAGCTCTGGAGAGAACATTAAAGTTCATTCATGTTTAGAGAAACATGAATGAAGGTAAACTATTGTTCAAACAGGGAACTATTTTATCTGCAGTCCAAATACCTTCATAAATGTATACAATTTTTTTACATTACATTGTACTGGGTATGGATAGAATTCTCACAAAAATAATAGGGTTTTAACAAGAGTAACTGTAATTTACGGTAACTTGCTCATGGCAATCACTTCTAGCTCAAAATATATACTTTGCCATCTCTGCTTATCTTTGCCTTTTCTTTACTGGAGCAGGGAAATGTAAAAAAAAAGCCCTTGCATCCCTAGCCCAAGCAGACAGATAAGTGTTTTTGGATGTGAAGGAAAAAAACATGATATACATTCCCTTCCCACATTTTCTACAAGAAAAACTATGAGGGTGCAACTAGAAATGGAAGGGTGTTGGGTGTCCTACTTCAAATAATGACTGCCATTTCAAGGAAGAAGAGCTAGTTTTGTTCTCCTCCTAAGAAATTTGTTTCTGTTTAGAAAAATAAACACATTTTTTTACTTTATGATGATATTTTACACCTAAATATTAGATATCTGGGAGATTGATGAGAAAGACTTAACTTACGCCTGCAAGCCTGTAATTGGCTGGTCAATACTTTTCTAATTTCATTTACCCAGGTAGCTTTGATTTCAGGAGTTGCAGCCTATGTCAAAAAGAAAAAAAATCCCAGAAATTTAATTCTTTTGTCCTTCTTCAGGCAGCCACTCAAAAAGAAGAGAATTTCAGCAGATAATGTTAGAATTGTGTCTAAACTGGCAAGCATTGTGACAAAGTCTTACCCCTTTGTATGTGTGTGCAATATTTATAAGTATCCCCTTGTATATTTACGCAAAAGGAGAGTGTTTAGATTGGGATATCAGAGTTGCCATCTTGTCTCTTGTGACCTCCAGTGGGGTGCTATTGTCTCATTGTCACAAAATACAAGTAACTCTTTCTTCCTTCTGTTTTCCAACCATTTCCACCCCCAAAAGTTCTGGAGAAAAGACCCATAACAGGGATATTATTGCTGTATAAATTATGTTAATTATATTCTTATATTTGTAATTATAGTATTGTTTTCCTGTTTTTATTAGCTTTCTTGAGCCTCATAGTTGGTAGAAGTGGGAAATAAACTGATCAAATAAATAAGGAGCCTTTTCAACAAGGAGCATTTAAAGAAAATATTTTACCTGTATTATGTAAACTTCTTCCCTTGCATTATACCAGATTTCAAATTTTTTAATATCACCTTTTACATTTTCTGTTATTCCAACTGCAGTCATCTAGAAAACAAAATAAATTTAAAGCAATATTCAAGTAGATAATCTTGTCAAATAATATTCACACAAATTTATTTGATTAAATATATTTCTAATTTAAATACATTATATATACTTGTGTGTATGTATGTATGTATGTATGTATGTATGTATGTATGTATGTATGTATATATGTATATATATATGTTTTCAGAGGTTTTTGTGGGTATTTGTATGTGGATCTTTGGTTATTCGGGTTTTCTCCCGCGTAACATTGGAAGTATCTTGGCAATTCGACAAAATCTCATTCCTCATCTTCAGGCTTGTGTCTTCGGCTTTGTGCTTCTCGGAGTAAATACATACACATACACATATGCAATTATGGCACTGTACATAAGGAAATAATAATTTTAAGAAGTTTCTAATTTGTGTTATTTTGAAAAAGACTTGGGAAGAAGAAAAGTATTCAAGGAATGGAGAGGAAAGCAAGATTGCATTTGTTGGCCAGATTGACTAGATACTACATTAGTTAAACTGTACATTGATGTTGTTATCCTGATATTCCAAAAACAGACATTGAGAAGATCAACAGCTTTAAATCTATGGTTTTATGAGATATAAAGGGTTAATATATATCAGGCTTATCCACCACTGCAACAGAACAGAAATAAGGAAATTTTAGTTTTATTCCAATGTAACTGATCTTTGGCCCAATAGTCAAATGTTTAACATTACACAATTCAAGATTCAGAACTTCAAATTCAAACATTTGTCTATATATTTTAAATGTATTTTTAAACCTTACATTTAAAGAATTCTTAAAACTGTATGAAGGAGCTTTTTCATATCCTTCTCCATTTTCTTCTCTCCTTTTACAGAATAAGATTGCCTTCTCGTGGAGGAAGAGGTGTCTTTGCATTGGCTTAAATCGAGCCAAATCTTTCACTTTTGAGTGGCCCTTTTTATGATCAATCCATACATTAAAGGATCCTTGCATTAAAAGTTTCCCCAGCTCATTCAGGTTCCCCTTCAAGAAAAAAATAGAACACACACACATATAATAGAATTGCAAGTAGATGATTTTATTTCTGATTGCTAAAATGTGATTGTTAAATAATGACGGACTAAGTAATATAATTCAGCTTAAGTTCAAAACCAAAGGAGAAAAAGATTATTTTGTTTACAGGTAGTCCTTGATTTACAGCCATATTGCAGCCTGTTCATTACGGCTGTAGTTATTGTGGTCATTAAGCAAGTTACCCACATGATTCCCTCACTTAATGACCACATATCCTGCTGTTGTAGAGCACAGGATGCCTCAGTAAGGGGAGGGGATTGGGAAGCCTAGGCCAAGCCCAATCCTCCACTACAGCACCTCCTCAGTTCAAACACAGGCCCCAGGCTTCCCACACTCCCTAAGGAAAACCTAAGGCTGTGCTTTCTACCCGACTGAGTCCTTGCAGGTCTTGGGCCTGCTTCTCACCCCACTAGGTCTCATATCCATCTCCCCTCATTATGTCTTAATCTATTTACTTTATCCAAAGATTGCCTCTGGGAAGAAACATCTGAACTGCTGCATAGCCTTCCTACATGCAGGCCAGGTGGTATCATCTTGAGAGCAGTGATCCTTTGGGTATTGGAGGCAATTCACAGATAAGAATTGCAACTGCTCCCAAAATGGTGTCTGCTTCCAGGACAGCACTAAGCAGCCTCTACCCTGTTTCCCCGAAAATATGACCTACCCGAAAGTCTTAGTTTGATTTTTACACGTGCGCCCAATATAAGCCCGATCCCCCAAATAAGCCCGAATTAAGATCCCACCCACTCCAGAATGCATAGGTAAAAATTAAGCTAGGGTGGGAATGGGGCGTGTGGAGCTGTCCTACTACTTACCTTTGTACAGTTGTAGCCAGGCCTCGCACACCCCAACACCTGCCTTGCCAGCCCATTTCTTCTGCAGCCGGCAAGGCTGGCAAAGCTTTCCTGAAGGCCTCTGTAGCTGATAACAACGCTTTGGATTGATCTGGAGCTCTGTTATTAGCTGCAGAGGCCTTCAGGAAAGCCTTGCCGGCTGCAGAAGAACTTCCTGAAGGCTTCAAACAGTGAAAAGTCTCAAATGGGATCTCAAAGATCTCAAAGAGATTGGTGTCACGAGCACAGAGGCATTGGGGAAGATAAGTAGATGAGGGTCTCGAGACCTACCCCAGTGACTTGCCCTATTGACTTCCACATTGACTTTGTGGGGAAGCCAGGAGAGAAGATTGAAAATGGTGGTCAAGGAGTGTGGGGTGCTTGGCACTCAGGTTGAGGGGGCCACTGGGATGGTTGAAACTCTGAGGACTGGTCCCAAGCAGCATTTTTTCAGGACCATTGTAACTTTGAACAGTTGCTGAAAAAGTGGCCATAGATTGAAAAATACCTGTGTTAAGCATTATATACAGGCTACTATTCAAATATTCAATCTCCAAAGTATGGTCTTCAGTAAAACAATCTTATCTTTTTTCCTCAATTCATTTAATAGTCAGGACACTGCATAGAAAGGCTTGCAATATAAAACTATATATGGAGGAAATCAAATAGGCAATGTCATTCCTCTGGTGGAGACTGACTCTTAGAGAGAGGAGGAACAGCCGACAGGGAGTGGAAATGTGGCTCCGGGGGTTGTGGAGGAGGCTGGGGAAGGGCAGAGGCCGGCTGAGCAGTCAGAGGAGGACCCAGGCCCATCCCCTACCCATCCTAGGGCACGTAGGGAAGAGGCTAAGGGAGAGACGTGGTCTCCTCGGGAGGAGAGGTCTTTGATCCTCTTCATGGGCTGCAGGTGTGACAACTGAATAAGAGTTTGGACCTGCGTACTGGCAAACGCTGGAAACAAATCATGTAAATATCTCTAGTTTATAGTTCTTCTCTGAGTTTGCATCCTTCCAAGTGTGTTATCTGTGGACATCCTCCAGCCCTTATCTTGCCTGGTTTGTGTTGCTTTTTTCCTTCTTCATGTAACTGTGTGGGAGGGTTTTTTTGTCTTCCGTCAAAGATATTCAGAGCTTGGGAGCAAACTGAAGGAATAAAGGGGGCTTCACCTGTTTTCTGTGACTATGTTTGTTTTGTATCCCATCCTGGGTCATCACAGGCAAGTTCTAAAAAATTTCAATTACAGCTAGTCTTGACTTACAACGGTTCATTAAGTTACAACACCACTGAAAAAAGTGACTTATGACTGTTTTTCACACATACAACCGCTGAAGGATCTCCATGATCATATGATGGCAACTGGCTTGTATTTATCTCGGTTGCAGCATCCCGGGGTCATGTGATCAATTTTGCGAACTTTGACAAGCAAAGCCAATGGGGAAGCCAGATGCACTTAACAACCCTGTTACTAGCTTAACAACTGCACTTAACTGTGGCAAGAAAGGCTGTAAAATGGAGCAAAGTTCACTTAAGAATTGCTTCACTTAGCAACAGAAATGTTGGGCTCAATTGTGGTTGTAAGTCGAGGAGTATTGTATTTATTTTTAAGCTGGATTAATGAAATTTCCATTTCATTCAGTTAAAGGGAGAGATAAGATGCAGAGTTAAATGAAAGACATCATCTGCAAAATAGAATTTTCTATAGTTTAAAAAATATTTTGGAAAGTACAGTATATGGAAATATGAGATTGTATATAACACTTTATTTACCACTCCCAGCTCTTGAAGGATCCTGGATGCTGTTGGGCCAGCCACCCTCTTTTAGCCCAACCACCTCACACAGTTGTTGCAATGAATGAAAATAGGAAAGATTATCTATACTGCCTTAAGTCCTAATGAAAGTTGGGATTTAATTTGAATAAAAAATTATTTTATTTCACTGTAAGAAAGCGAGAATAAAGATAAACTTTTGCAAGATGCTAGAATAAGAGGAGGATTTGGTTTGCCTAATTGGGAGTTGTATTACCAAGCTACAAATTTGATGTGGGTTAAGGAATGGATAACATTAAGGAATACTAAATTGTTGACATTAGAAGGACATGATCTGTTGTTGGGGTGGCATGCTTTTCTATGGTATAAGGGAACTAAAACACAGGGGTACTTTAGAAGACATTATATACGGGAGTCTCTGTGGTTAAACTGGGAGAAGATTAAAAGACAATGTTATTTGAAAATTCCAGTCTGGCTATCGACTATTGAAGCATTTTCTTATCCTATAATATACAAAAAGGAACAAACAGTTAGATATGGTGAAATATTGAATGAAAAGGGTGAACTTAAATCTATACAAAAACTAGAGGAACAAGGTATAAAGATGAATTGGTTTTCATATGCGCAAATACATTCAAGGTATGATAAAGATTTTAAAACAGAAGGTTTCTATGATAAACTGACTGATTTAGATAAGATTTTGACAGGTACTGATGAAAAGGTGATTAAAAAATTGTATGGATATTTATTAGAAATTAAACTAGAAGAAGAACAAGTTAAAGAAACTATGATTGCTTGGGGGAAGAATTTTGGATATGGGATTGATCTAGAGAAATGGCAAAAATTGTGGTCTCAAAATTATAAAATGACGTCAACAGCATATAAAGAAAATTTGTATAAGATGTTTTACAGGTGGCATTTTCCCCCGACAAGAATAGCAAGAATGTTCAAGAATAAATTCGAAAAATGTTGGAAATGTCATCAGACACCTGGCTCATATTACCACATGTGGTGGACTTGTGCAGATGCCAAAAAATACTGGACTAAAATCCACACGTGGTTGGAAAAAATGACAAAAAAGCATATAGACTTGAAACCAGCGATATTTTTATTGGGAATTTTACCTGAAATATATAGTAAAGATTTGAAATACCTGATTGTAAATGTATTAACAGCGGCTAGGATTGTATTTGCTAAAAACTGGAAAAATGAGAAAATACTGTCACAGGAGGAAATTATTAAGAAAATATTGGAATGTGCTGAAATGAGCAGATTGACATTTGAAATTAGAGAACAGGATGATAAACAATTTTATAAAGTTTGGAATCTATTCTATCAATGGTTAGACAATAAAGTATAGTAACGAAATATGTAGACTTTTAGAAAATACTAAATATATAAAAATGTATTCTTTTCTTATTATATCTACAAAATGTTTTTAGGATAGATTTGGGATGATAATATGAATTGTCACAAAACAAATTAAATAAAATATGATTATTTTCCAAAGCATGAATGAATAAAAGTATAGTCAAATGATTGATTAATAATGACACCAATGTATTTAATATTGGATTGAAAATATAAGATCATATACAATGTAATTATAATTGAAGACTATGAAATGGAAGCACAAAACAATTTGTAAACCAACTGGCACACTGTATGTACATATATGGAAGATGATTTGATGTTTTTCTGTTTTGTTTGTTTATGTTTGCTTTAAAAACCAAAACAAATTTTATTAAAAAAAATTATTTTATTTCAGGCTATTGGAAAAATAAAATATTTGCACTATTTATGCAGGCTTGGTCTTGCTTTTCTATCTATAAAATATAAGATACCAAAACCTGCCAGTTGGCTTGGACCCCAAATGAGGGAATATCACACTGGAGGTAGTTGATAGACTAATACCAGCTCCACCAACCCCCTTGTCCCTTTCTTCCGCTAGCTTTGGTTATAACTTGGAATTTACCGCGATTTTAATGTGATTTTAACCATCTGTGTGTATAGTTATGGTTTTATTTTAATGTTGTAAGCTACCCAGTCACCTTGTGGCAAGATGGGAATGGGCAACAAACAAATTCAATGAACAAACGAAGAAATATTACCAGTTACCTCATAGCCAGTGATTGCAATCTGATGCATGGAATCATTAACTGCTTTAAGAATTCCCAATATTGACGTCAGGGCTACTTGGAGATCTTCAGCACCTTCACAATTTTTACTGTACTTTAACATTTCCTGTTGGAAAATTACATGTTCAGGCAATAGAAAAGCATCTGCAGTGTTATTATTAAGGAAATGCTTCATGGGGCTCTTTTAATCTACTGGGGAAGGAGCAATCATCTTGAATAATTTCAAAGATGAAATAAGTAACATTTAATTATTTTTTAAAATAAATAGGTATTAGATCAAGTGGATAGAATAAAAGACCATTAGCTTCAGGATCAAATATTGATCAGTTCAAGGGCCATCTTTGTCCAATGCCTAACTTGCCCCCCCCCCCACTTCTAGAATAAACAAGCTAAACAAGCTATTTTTTCTTGAGTAGCATTTCTTTGCAGAACCCCACTTCTTTAAAAAGTGCTGGCAACTTAAGAAACTCTGCTCTGTGACCTTAATTAGAACACTTCAGGTTGCTGCCTGAAACTGACTAGATCTTAATCAGTTTTATAGAAAGGGTTTTGGGTTTTTTTTGGCCTAAGTGCATAAGCATGTTAGCCAGTCAGTGGTACCATATTTCTCTCAGTGTGTATTCTCTATATACTCATTTGTAACCCCTTCTTTCCCAATGAATGTAAATTTAAACATTAATTTACTTCTTGCTAATTATTTGATCACCAGAGTGAGCATTCCAAAGGATAGGGGAATGAGAAAAAGCGCTACAAGATTGGCCTTGCAAACTTGGCTCCTCGTGAATCAAATTTCAGAGATCATCCTTGCCGTTTGGGCTCACTCACTTGTGAGAGGCAAATTTCTTTGACATTGTAAGTATGTTCGGGGAAATTTTCATAATAAATTTTACTACTGAAAGATTTGTTGCCATCCTGGTGTCTCCCTTGGTGCTCTTTGGTATCTAGCATGCAAATCCCAAATTAAGTAATGATGCACAAACTAGCTGCAGTGGTCATTTTTCTGTGTTTCTTCTGTCCCCTTAGTCCAGGTATTACTGAACAAACTCTACTTTCCATTTGTGAAATAGAAGCATTCAGAGTCCTGGATTAGACTTTCTTTCTGGAGAAAGAACTAGTTTTGACTCAGCAAAAGGATCTTACTTTCAGAAAGGATAAATTTATTGCCTGGAAGTCTCTCTTGGAACATCACCTTTTACTTATTCTAGGGAAGAGATTATCCCTTGATGCTCCGATTATATGAAAAGTAAGCTATGCAAAGGAACAGGAAATGTAACAATGTTTGCCTTTCTCTTTCTCTGTCCCCTCCCTACCCACCTCCCCCAAATATCCCTTTTGTCTGGAAAGATGATTCCTGTAGAAGAACATGGAATTTACTATGTCATTATAGATTTGCTAAGGACAACTACAAAGCATATTGCAAATGTCAAGTCACTGGACAAACTATTTTTTATACACAGTTATTAAACAAAGATAGTCTCTGAAAGGTGTGCCACAAATTTAACTGCATTCATTTCCCTTGGTATCTAATAGATTCGCTATTTCCTATCCTACCTGACTTTAATCAATCAATCCATCTATGACATAGCTGAATTCCTACCTTTAGCAAGAGTTGATATTTGGTTATTCTTTGAACAGGCTTTAGTAAATAAGAATCCAAACTCAACTTGTGATCAAGTTTTCGCTGACACTCCTACAAAAAATAAAGGACAGACAATAACTTTTCCCTCACAGGGTAATAACTGATTATTATAAGCAATATGGTCCCAAGTACATAAAAAATACCTGGAAAAATGCTGAATCTGAACACTGTCTCCAAAGACTTTCTGATCGAGGTTTATTTTGACAATATTTTTCATAAATTTTGAAGTCTTTCATCTTAATTTAAAAAAGAGAACCATGAATCAAACAACAAAGTATCTGTTTAATTAAAAGAATATATATTTACATCTATAATGAATGAATAAAGACCAAACTCTTCTGATAAGATATTGGCAGAGTACTGACTCATCTCAAAAACAGTTTTTTTTTTCTGTTCACATTTCTGCTATTCTTTTTTCCTTTACGGGGAAACCTGAAAACCTGTAGTATGCAACATTTACATATATCAAGGAAAACAATGAGGGTTTAAGTAGGTAGTTTGTTATTTCAAAACAACTATCAGCAGCCTATAGACTCTTTTCTTAACATACACAAACATCAGTGATTGATTAAATGTGGCAAACCAATTGACCCAGCAGACAACTTACAAAATTATTTCAAAGTAATGCTCTCTGTTTTGTGGGGAAATAAAATGAGCAATGGGGAATTAGTTGGATATACAAATCTAATATTCAAAACCAAAACCCCAATGTACCTATTACACTGATCATTTATTTAGTGCAGAATTCCTCAGTGTACGCAGTTTTAAAGATTTGTGGACTTTAAATTCTAGAGTTCCCCAGCCAGGCATGCTGCCTGGGGAATTTTGGGATTTGAAGTCCATGCGTCTTGCCAGTTGCTAGTGTGGAGAAACTCTGATTTAGTGTAAAGATCAAGATCTGTATATAGACCGCTATATGAGAATGGTGGGACAGTACTTGACTTTACATCACATTTCTTTCTTTATATGCAAATGTAACCTTGCATTGACCAATGCAATTTTTCTTATTCCTGCAGTATTATGGCATTAGTACAGCTGATCTGTAATCAGACACTTCACATAATCAAAGCATTACATGAAATGGAAAACTGGTTGCTACATAGTCAAAGTATCTCTTCCTCTATCTGAGACTTATCAGGCTGTTTCTAATGGAAGCTGAGATCTTCTCATTCTTCTCTTTCCATTTCCTCCTTCTCCTCCTACAACTGTTATATAACTCATCTTCTGAATAAAAATCCTAGGAGGGGTTTTATAAATAATACCAGCAATAACAATTTCTGGGATTTTCCACACAGAGTAATTATAGTAGCACTAAGGGAGAAGACTTATAGAATGTTGGCGAGTACAACAGAGGGATAACACCAAGAAGATTTCTTTAAGTCTTCTTGGTGATAATCCTCTGCTACTCTCAGCAACATTCAAAATCAGTTTTTATTGGGAATGATGGAAATGTCAACCAGAACTCAACCAGTCTGTTAGGGATATACCCTAGCAGAATGTGCACAGAAGTCAGGCGAATATGAGAGAAAACGTTTTTTAGTTTACACACTCAGTAAAACCGGATACACTGTCTTAGTTGAATAGTTTATTCCATTAAGAGTTTCCGTTTTACTCTTCATTAAATAACAGAAACCATATCTTGAGTAATGATCCATTATGCTTAATATATAACGAGCACCTCCCATACTAGGTTTTTTAGGACCTATAGTATCAGCAAATACGACCTCTAGAGGCTCTTTAGTTTTAAATCCATTAATTCTATTTGCTGGTATTACCTTGCTCTTTTCTTGACTGCAAGCATTGCAGTGCAAATACTTACTGCAAGGCTTCAGTTTTATACCTTCAGACAGTTCAACCGTTTGCTTGAGCATTTTAAAATTTATATGCCCTAAACGTCTGTGTAGCAAATGTATGCATTCGTCATGAGGCTTAACGTTATTATACACTGTATTAGCCACCTCTAATTGATTATCATTCAATACATACAATTCATCTTTTAAAGTTGCAGTCACTTTTTTACCTTCCTTTTCTATTATGCAGTTTTCTCCCCTAAAGGTAACTACATAACCTAGTTTAATCAAATCTCTAACTGAAAGCAAGTTAAACTTAAGTTGTGGTACATACAACATTTTAACATTTTCTTTTATACACGAACAATGTGCAATACCTTCAGCTTTTGCTTTCATTTTCCAGCCATTAGCTAACGATATCTGTTGTGAACTCGTGGACATCTTAATAAATCTTTTCTTATCTTTTGTTATGCAGTGCGACGCTCCACTATCTACAACCCATAAATTATTATTTACAATTTTTCTGCTATACATGTCTATTTCCAAAAAAGTTTAATCCTTTTGATGCTTTTTGGCATTCTGGCATTTTCCTTTTTTGCAGAATCTAGCCAAATGTCCTTTCCCTCCACAATTAAAACATTGTTTAATTGTATAGGCTGTTGAAGATAATTTCTCTTCTTGTGGTTGTTCCCTTCTCAGTTGATCCCTTTCAAGCCTTCTCCTGGCTTCTTCAATTAATCTACCAGTAATGTCAGTTAATGTGAGGTTATCTTTTGGCAGTACTTCCAGTGAAGTTACATAGTCGTCATAGCTCTCATCTAACGAAGACAAAATTATATAAACCTGATGCAGTTCTGTGAAGATAAGTTCTTTTTCATGCAGTTCCTGAAAAATCCTCTTCATAGTGTTTATATGAGTCAACATATCTCCATTCTTTTGAAGATGTGTTCTGAACAGCCTCCGTGTAAGATTTATATGTGCTCCTACACTGTCTCGAACATAAATCTTCTTTAAATTCTCCCAACACTTCGCAGCTGTTTCTTCTCCACGAATATGGACACGCTGCTGGTCACAGAGTGTCAGCCCTATTATACATAGAGCTTGCTCATTTTTCAGTTTATATTCATTTATTTTCTGGGCATCATTCTCATCTTCCGGATCCCAATCATCTACCTCTGGTGGGTTTTGAATTATACTCCACAAACCTTCTCTGCATAGAAGTAGACTGCATTTCATAGACCATGAAACATAGTTTGTTCCATCCAGTTTGGATATTAGAGACAAACTTGGTAAATTGACTTGTGCCATTTTTCTTTGAATATTAAACTATAATAAACTAATAAAACACAGCTGTCGGTTTACAGTATTGTGTAACTACACTAACTCTCAATTTATATAAGCCTGTTGTATCCTGGTTAGTCTGACTGTGCAGCCTGGGCGCATAACCAGTGTTAGGGATATACCCTAGCAGAATGTGCACGCTAGTCAGGCAGTCAGGCGAATATGAGAGAAAACGTTTTTTAGTTTACACACTCAGTAAAACCGGATACACTGTCTTAGTTGAATAGTTCGTTCCATTAAGAGTTGAGCGGGGTCAAACAGTCCAAATATCATTCACTAGTGTTCAGTCAGTTCAGTCCGGAGATTGTTCAATTGCAAAAATCCAGTGTCGAAAAAAAGGTCAGTTACCTTACAATGTCAATCCATAAATCAGTCCAGTAAATATCTTCTCACAGTAGTTTAGATATGCAGCATTCAAAACTCTTTCCTCCTTCGACGTCAACAACAGGGAACACGCAGAACAATCAACCATCAATCCAGTAGCAATCCAGGTTCTCTAGCTCCCTCTTATGGCAGTTTCTCAACCGCACGCAAATTATATCATTTAGAGTTTAAAGTGAAAAAACACATTTAAACTTTGCTATCATGGTTTATATATTATTTACCCAAACAACGTTAGGTAACTATGGTTATTCCTAACACAGTCCTAGGGATATAAACGTTTGTATCTTGAAAGAATACTGAGAAAGAGCAATTTAGTGTGATTCCAAGTTACTTAAAATCTAATACTTACCCGTTCAAGGAAACCACGTCCTATCAGTTGAGGGCAGTCTATATAATCTTCTATTTCTCTCAAGAATATTCTACCAAAAATAGTAATTATATTTTACTGATGTGATGAAATAAAATAACACATCTACATGTGACCACACTTATTCTGTTCTAAATTTACATGCACATTCTAATACATTTCATGAGCAGAAATCTATAATGGCCCCATATGCATAAGCAAAATTCACTATTTGCATTAAAAATAAAACAGTTTAGCCTTGCACCATATAAGTTACCACATGAAATTGATAATGCTGGAAATAATTCATTTATATAACATTATTGATATGTATGGTGCACAACAGTGAGCAGTGCTATGTTCTCCAATGCGATGCTGTTCAGATATCCTGAATTTACAGTTTCTAATTAATTTTACTTTCACAGCCAGGTCATTTAGATGATATCAGGTTTTGAGCCATATACATAGGTCTCTACCCTGACTTATATCTGATTATGTGTAAGATAACAATTGGAAAAGGAAAAAAAAATAAGAGGAAAGACAATGAGACTGAAATATATACACACACATGGGCATTTTATAAAAAAACATAGGTCTGAAGGTCTTTGAAAAATAACCCTACATAAAAAATAAAATCTTAGCCACATTCAAATATTTATGGATAGGTATTTAGAATATAAAAAACAACACTGAAACTTTGAAACTTTTGGTTCATAATGAGCAGATAAAAGATTGCCAGTAGTTTTTGTTAAATGAACCAATTAGCATGAGAAAAAATTATCCCAGGTAATTTACCAGAAGATGACTTGTTATTTGATATCTAAGCATAATTCTAAAATTGTTGCATTTAAATTAAGTTCATACAATTTGTTTTATCTTAACACAGAATCCAGGCGATACACATAGACAACAACTCAAGTAGGTAGTAGTATAACTTAGGACTTCATGAAAGAAATAAAAGGACAAGGACAATAATTGTACTTACATACTTCCAGTAAATCACAATTTCCAGCTTATTCATTAACAGTGAATAACAGAATCAACAACCATTTTTTAATTCAAGCAGTTGTCTGTATCACATAAGCATGCATTCTATAGTTTGGCCACTAGGTGGACTTTGACTCATGTGGGCTCTAACATGGGGAGTAATGCTCAAGTTTTTAAAAAGCAGATGCCCAATTCTGAAATCAGAATGCATCCTTCCAAGATCTCTTCCTCTTCCTCTGTTTGCTTAGACTGCTCCTCCTCTATTCCAATCTCAACATAGAATACCAATATGCATAATTTTGTCTCCATAGCATCATATTCATTGAGAAAAATGCCAGGCTCATATTGCCAATAATAAAAGGACACGAAATGAAATGAAACACTTTGAATGAAATCAAAGTGTTTGTCAATCTCAACAATTTTAAGATGCTAATGCTATTTTATAATGCCTTGGTAAGGCCACACTTGGAATACTGCATCCAGTTTTGGTCATCACAATGTAAAAAAAGATGTTGTGACCCTAGAAAGAGTGCAGAAAAGAGCAACAAAGCTGATTAGAGGTCTGGAAGCTAAAACATATAAAGAATGGTTGTTGGGATTGGGAAGGTCTGGTTTAATGAAAAGAAGGACTAGGGGTGACATGATAGCGGTGTTCCAATATCTCAGGGGCTGCCACAAGAAGAGAGAGTCAAGCTATTCTCCAAAGCACCTGAGGGCAGGACAAGAAGCAATGGGTGGAAACTAATCAAGGAGAGAAGCAACTTCGAACTAAGAAGAAATTTCCTGACAGAACAATTAATGAGTGGAACAACTTGCCTCCACAATGTTCCAACACTGGAAGTTTTTACGAAAAGACTGGACAACTATTTGACTGAAATGGTATAGGGTTTCATGCCTGAGGAGGGGGTTGGACTAGAAGTCCTCCAAGAAGCTCAATAAAGAATCATGCATTTCATATTTATATTAGATGTATATATGCATGTGTGAACTCCATGGGAATCTTAACAACATGGATTATGAGGAATACTTATTGAAGAAAGAGAAATTATTATGTGAAAACTTTATGAAAAAAATAAGCAGGAGTCTTATGGAAAGAGCTTATACCATCACTGATTTTGTTGGTCAATCTATTAATATCTATTAATATCTATTAATATCAAAATTTATAATACAGCCTTTCTACGACACCCTGGTTTTCATCATATGTTGAACTACAGTTTCGTCATCCTTGGCCATTATGGCACACTGGAGGTTATCAACTGGGAATATGGTGCTCTAATTGTGATCAACAATGGGACATTTCCTTTGTTATTATTTTAATGCCCTATTTATATTGCCAGAAAGCGCATGTATGAGATACAAATCCCAACCTGTTGTGAAAGTGATAGATTTCTTCCATGTTTCCAAACAACACATCTTTCTTATTTTGTAGCCCAGGTGAAATGAGATGTGCCATTAAGGGGTTGTCCATTTCTGCTGCATAGCCCTGTAATACAACAGGAAAGCAGATTCATTGCTTCCAACGGAGTTCCCATCAAGTGTCCCCTATTTTCAACAATTGGAGCCTTCAACAATTTATCAGCCTCACTGCTGATAAAACATGTAGCAATATTTCAATATTAATCTGCTCAGGCTTCTAATGCAGAGTTTACACATCTTAATAATTCTATTTTATATAATATAGTTATAAACTATGAACATTTGCTTGGGAAAAATAGTTCACATGAACAAGAATTTTGTAAATAATCAACATGTGTTTTTGAACTGTTTATTACATGTAAGTCAGAACCATTTATAGCCCATATACAGCTGCTAATTTGAATGTTTTGACTCCAGAGTTGATCACAAGGTCTGCAGGTTCTTACAGAATGACCTTTCAAGGGAATTGTTCTTTCTTCTTCCTTCCTGACCCAAGTTCCTGTTTATGAGTTCTGCTCTAGGCAACAAGACTAAATCTATTATTTAGCATTTCCATACACCAGGAAAGAAGCAAAAACCTGCTCTTTAAACACTCATTAGACTAGAGAAGATTCTGCTTTTAGTTGATGTATCCAAAACAGCTGGCTTTGAAAAGGGAAGTAAAACAAAGTGACTGCATTTGGTCCCGGGGAAGTTCTCTCAAGGGAGAATACATATTTAGAAAAGGAAGAGGCTGCAATGACATTCTAATTCCCTCTTCCATGTCCTTATAGTTAGGCCATTATATTATAGTCTTTATTTCATCCACCACTAGAAACAAGAAGAGTAAAAAAGGATTGTCTTAATCTTAATGGGAACCAACAGAATACAATGTTCTTGTCCTTGATGTTCAGTTACTCGTCTTAAGTAGAAATAACTTTATATTAAAATAGGGGGATCGGAATATATTTACAACAGACTAGAAGTGAATCAAGTGTGAAGAAAGGATGTTTTTCACCTTCTTGACTTGGTTCTCCTTTCTTGACTTCAGTGATAGTGGTGGAGAAAACATTGATAGAAGCCGAATCTGTTACTTTTTTGGTAACAGAACATCTGGCTTCTCACATTCACAGCATTCATACATTGCACTTAGCCACACTTTTCTTAGTTTATTTTTTCAGCAAATTTTAATTAGGAAAAAACTACACATTAAGGTGACCTGTGAACCAAATGGACCACCTCTTTTAAAGTGAACAATGCCCAGCAGTATTCGCTTTAAGAAAAAGGCTCCAATTTCCCAAAGTCAAATCATTCTAGATGAGGGCTGATTTTCTTGGAATAACAATTTTGTCCCATAAATATTTGACTCCATATAGAACTTCCATATCATTTTCTACACTACAGGATTGATTAAGGAATCATTTTAAATATAACATTGGCAAGGATTTTTTTAAAAATGTACCTCAAGAACACAGAGAAGTTCTTCCACATAAGCTCGTTCAGTTTCAAGAAGTTCATTCATTACATGTCTATCAACATAAGGAATAAATGAATTATTAAATAATTTCAGATTTCAAAGTCCCTAAATGGCTAGACTGGAGATTAAGAACCATTTTTTTAACAAATACTAGCAACTGCAAAACAAACTGCATGGTGTTTCTTAGATCTGATCATGGAGAAATATTTTAGAAATATTTTACCAAAAATTGTATGTCTTAAGGCAACTAATATGGTAGAAAAAGTTTTTGCTGTATACAAAAGGATGGACATAGAAATATTGCCAAAAAAAGAAATGTTACTGTATTATTACTGGTCGATTAATGACTATTTAATGACTTCTATTATCTTTAAATACAATTGTTAGACATACTGGAAACATTTCTTACATATAGTTGCTTGGATAAAAATATACTTACTTGCGTAACACTGCTAGATTTTCTTCATCATCTGTCACAGAAACATTTCTAGATTGCTGCATTTCATTTATCTCACTCTAATAAAAACAAGAACAGCAATTTGGCATCAAATCTTTAAAGCCAAACCTCTCCTTTCCAAAATGTGTTTGGCTAGAGACTGAAAAGTTTGGTTCACAAAAATGCAGCTCATATCTGATTTTTAAGTGCCATGACATGCATGCATATGCTAATATGTATGGCTGACTATCATTTACCACTAAAAATTAAGGAATAAGTACTTATATTGCAACAAAACTGTTCCCAAGTGCATTATGCAATTAATCAAGAAGGGGGCATTAGGCAAACTATATAATATGAACTCATATTAGGCAAAATGCATGTGAGACATAATTATTGTTAAGTTCTTCCATGTTAAACAAATATTTATTTTTCAAATCCTGGTATGGGATGCTGGGACACAATTTGGCTGTCTGTTTTCCAAATCAAGGTTAGTTAACAAACCAAGGGAAAAAAAATGCAGATTCTTTCTCTTACAGTAAATGTCTCTACTCCTTACTGTAACACCAGCAATAGAAAAGTGGTATCTAAGCTCTGATGGGTCAGGGATCTGATTCAATAGGCTGCTTCATATACTTAGGGAGAATTTAACATGTCGACCATCTCTATTTCATTCATACACTGTTACCTTCATTTTTCTGACATTCACTCTCCTTATCGCATGGTTATCAGAACTGGATGAATCTTCAGACTCTATTTGAAGGCCTGGTATGTGAAATAGAATCAACCACTGTAACTAGAGGTCATGTCAAGCTAAACATACTTGCCAGATCAATTATTTTTGTTTTCAACTAAAACAGAATACCTTGACTAATTGGTTTCTTACCAGAATAAGGACATGATGATTTTAGACATCCTTCTGGTCTAGGTGCCACTGGTTGAACAGGGCGTGTCTGCTTAGCTGCCAGTTTCTTAAGGCTGACTTGCCTCTTTTGAATCATTTCTTCCATATTGTTCTGTTTCTGAAAAACCTTTTGTACATGTTCCTGTAAAAAGAGAAGGCAAAAATCTATGTGGACCATTGAATTCATAGGACATCATTTCAAAAGCTGAATTTTGAAAGCAATGCACAAAAAATGTGCTCAACATTAATTTGATTCACTACACAGAATACATTTGCAGTCATGGTGAATACCAAATGACTGACCACTCCTTATGTGAGTATAGTGCCTCTATTAAAACAAGGAATTTTGATATAGGATAGTGTATTTAAGAGACTCCGTAACATATATGATTCCAAATCTCAAAAATATTATACTGTAGTAATTGGGTGCCTTTTCCCGTAAATAAACTGACCTAAAGAAATGTAGCAATGACAAATAAACTGCCACATTATTTATATTATTGTTAAATACCTGTGAGTTCTTTAACAAAACAGTTAATTTACTTGAAAAGTTACCCACTTAGGGCATTGATATTGTAATTTATGCAGGTTTAGGTTTAGAAAGCTGAACAGACATATTAAGTGGTTTCAACTCAAATATTTCAATTCATTGTTTATATATGCTTTTGTATAAATGTGACAAGATATTGTTCTGAAATCTTGATATTAAGATTACCATTAATTCCTCAGTGAAGATAGCTTCAAATTCTTTGGACAAGTAACTTAGTTCCCTGAGTTTATTATCATCACCCAACTCCAAAAATTGCTCAATTTCCTGCAGAGCTGCTTCTGCTCCATCCTGTGATTGGCATTTGTCTACAGGTTGAGAAGCCAGCAGATAAATTCCATCATCACACCACTTCATGCACTACAAGGGAACCAAGAAAAACACATCATAAAAATGCTGCATTATACAAATGATTTATGTTATTGAAATTATCAGGATGATTTGAAGAAACCACGGTTCTTTTGATTATACTCTTCAGGCTACTGTGTTGTGAGGATGAGTTGTAAGTGAGCTTGCCTGATCCAGAGACAGAACTGTGAAACTTGGAAATGGTGGAAGAGATGCAATATTTTATCTCCAAAAACAGATGAAGCAAGAAAATGTTCTGCAGTTACAGTCTCAAACACAATCTGAGCACATGCTACTGGCATTTTTAAATACCACGTTGTATCATGTATAACGTTTACCCTAACAGAAACTGTTCAGAAGATGAGACAAAAAAATGAGATCAAGGTTTTATCTCCTCACAAAAATACTCCAGAACTGTATTACTTGACCACATTCTATACATTCAAAAAACACATTTTTCTGATTTGTCACAATCTAAATTTAGGCTCCATTAAGATTATACATTGAGCACTATCTGTAGATTTAAAGCTTAGCAAATAGGAGAGGAAATTGAGATAAAATACATTAACTAAGTTTAATGCTGACTGGAACCCCTTATAGAATTTTTGTGTGAAACAAAAAAATGAACTTATGACCACAGCGTTGTTGTTATGAGGAAAATAGGAGGAGGATATGTTGGGTATATTTGTCATCTCGAGTTATTTGTAAAAATAATAAAACTGAGATGGATGGGTATATAGATAGCAAGATTTGAGGATTAGAAAAAAATATTATAGAAAAAATAAAAGCTCTCTGAGCTTGTTTATTTTCTTGCAAATGTTTAATTACTCGAACTAGGTAGCATTGATTATGTTACCTAGTTTGGGTTATGAAATGTCTGCAAGAAAACAAGTAAGTTCAGAGAGCATCAAGGATTCTTCTTGTCAACACTGAGCTACAAATATTCTCTTTTATTAAAAATAAAAGCCATGCTATCTTCATAAAGGAAGATGTTAATTTATATTTATAACTGCTGTAAAAGACAATTGGAAGTTACTTTTTTATATTTTCTTTCTTTTCCCAACGCTTTTGACTTTATCTTTCCTTTCTTTCACTTTCTACTTTATTCTAAATATGAAATCTTTTTAGTTTTTATCTTGTTTAAAATCTTAATAAAGTTGTATTTAAAAAAGCAAGTAAGAAGGGAAGTGGGTAAGTTTAAGTTTACCTTTTCCAACTGTCTATGTAATTCAAATGAATGGTTTAGGAGATCCCTTTTTTTATTCACTTCTGAAATAATCATTTCATAGTGTTGTTGGAGTTCACCGCACTTGGGAAGGATAGAGTCCACGGCATAATGCTTGTTTTCTATAAACTGGTCTCCACTGGAAATTAGTAAGCTGGCTTTATCTAAAACTTCCTAAGGAAAATAATATAGCAGAAAATACAAGTTGTAACATTATCTCTTTATAAATAGGTCCCACTGAAAAATGTGTCAAAATAAAGAAACCTTATATCTTTACTTGTGATTTTTCTTCAAAACTGGCAAGATCTTTCAGAAGGTGCTCTACGTGTGAACTGCTATTTCCCATTTCTGTGAAATGAAGTAATTTCTCAGACACGCTATCAAGTGCTATTTTGACCTAAATGAAATAAAATATATAATTTTTTGTAAGTCTACAACAGTGTAGCAAAGTTACAAATTAGACTTTGGATCATAAAAATCAGCTAGAGGGCATGATCATAGAAAAATATATAAGCAGTATTTTTGAGAAACTTTGTATTATGGTTCTTTAGTGATATAGATTAACAGAATGACACTGTTAGAAAAGACTTGAAGGTCTTGTAGCTCAATCCCCTACTCAATCAGGAGAATCTGTGCCATTTCAGACAAATGGTTGTCCAATCTCTTCTTAAAAACTCCCAGTGTTGGAGCATTAACAACTTCTGGACGCAAGTTGTTCCACTGATAAATTGTTGTCAGGAAATTTCTTCTTAGTTCTAGGTTGGTTCACTCCTTTCCATCCATTGCTTCCTGTTCTCCCCTCAAGTGCTTTGGAGAATAGCTTGACCCCCTCTCCATTTTGGCAGTCTTTTGGATATTGGAACATTATCATGTCACCCCCTAGTCCTTCTTTTCATTAAACTAGACAAGTTTTTAAATTATTAAGGTACTTCAAGTAAGTCAATACTAATAAAGTATAACTATTATCTTTGCTTTTAATTTCATTTTTATCACTTCAATATTTAAATTACTGTTTTATGTATATTGTATGTAAATTATTACCATACAATGGTAATCATACAATGGATGATCAAAAGTATCTCTGATGAAATGTATTGTCTAGTGCAGAATAAATGACATTTTAAGGAAATTGATGCTTTTAAGTGAAAATTCAAAATTTTAAGTAAAATTATTGCTAATCCAGAATTGTTTTAATTAGACCAACATATCATATACCTCTTTGAAATCCAGTTCAAAATGTCTAAGTTGTAAGCATTGCTCAAGCTTCTGTTGGTGTTTACACCAAAAGTCATCAAAAGCTGCTTCTGTTTCATCTAGTTGAGATAAAAGCCTTAAAAGAAAAAGACAAATAAAGAAGTTTTGTATCAAGCGTTCCCCAATTAAAGGTGGGGTAAGGGGATTGGCAAATCCCAAGAAAGGGAAGGACACAAAACTATTATCAAAAAAACTCACAGCATTGAAAAATGTATTAATTATCAAATGAAAATCTAATGTAATGGAAAGATTAGTGAGAAAGATAGAGTGATGTGAGGAAGGTGGGTGTGTGGCAGGAAGACTGATAGCAGATTTCTAGAAAGCTGAGGGGTAGAGAGGCTTGAAATATACTTTTAGGAACATACAAAATAATGGATGTATTCAATTTGCGTGGGAAGGCATGAGGTTTCTAAAACTTACAGGATTCCTCTTGAACATTAGGTCAAATGCTAACTTGTTATCATTATCTTTACTTTGTTTTGCCAGATGGCTTATTTTTTTCAAGGAACACTATAACTACAGCCCTGTATTTTGGCTGATACTCTCTCAGCAAAATAAATTTCATTCTTTTTCTGACAGAGATAACATAACTTGTTGGTGACACTTGTTTTCCATATTGGACCTTCACAAAAGTATTAAAATCTTACTATCAGAAATATTTTAGAAACAGAAAGTAGGAATATAGTGAAAATATATATTAAAATACTAGATGCACCTCACCTTTCCACAGTAATTTGATTTTCTGTTTGATCTGGATTCAGTTTGCACTCTGGGTTTTCAAGGACCGGTTTTCGAATACCGTGGAGAATATCATCACCTTGCCTTAAAGCTATTTTCAAACCTTCCTACAGAAAAATTGAAGGGTGTATAGTTAGGCTGTTCTATGAGAATTCAACTTGGAAATGCCCTCCCAGGGTCTTGAAAACACCCAGAATGAGCTAAGGATGGGTAACCTGTGCTATGTGGCAAATTCACGCGTATGCTATCTTTTTTTTTTTTTCATAGTTGAGCAACAGTTTGATTTTACACTGATAGAAAGCCAGCTCTTGTGTATTATGCTGCTCAGAATACATGTGAAATCTAGATGAGATAAAAAGATTTAAAAATAAATAAAACAAATATAACCAAAAACTTACAAAACCTAATTGTGTGTGCATGTGTGCACAAACCCAAAAATCTTATTCGAACATTATAAGGCCAAAATTAGAGTTAAATAATCCATTATAGACAAAAATCATGTCACAGGAATTGCTTTGCCATATTTATAATCTGCACTTCAGGATTTTATTTACTGTTTTAGCTAAATAAATATTTTCAAACTTTAGATCCATGGAAAATGTGAGCGATCATAAAATTTACTGGCACTGATTCAAAGGGAGAATATTACACAACATTCAAAGAAAAAATTTGCAAAGGAAAATAAAACTAAGCCCAGTTAGTGGGGTAATTCAATAAAATCATCTTTTATCTAACAACAGCTCTAACCTACCTTCATTTTGTCTCTCCTTTCTGTATGTGTTGCAAGGAGGTAGCTGGTGGCCTGAGCATCATTGGGTAGCTCTTCTTCTGCAAGCTCATTCCCAAAGGTTTGAAGTGTTTGAGCTATCTGCTTAACCATTCGAGCAAAGCTCTCTATAGCCTTATGAATTACAAATACATGACACATATTGGATACAGAAGACATGTTTGGTTTAAATATAACTGTATGTCTACAGGTATAAATAAAATTATCTCTTGGTGGTCTCTGAATTTGGTTGTTTGTTTGCAGACATTGCATTACCCAACTAGGTAGCATCAATCATGCAAGTGAGAATGGATTTACTCTTTATTTATATATGGTAGCTTGCACTGCCAGTTTTGGTGAGACTGTCATTTTTTCCTTGGTAGTTCCTAGACTCCATAGTTCTATCTCAAGCTATATATATTCTATTAATAATTATGTCCACCATTAACTCCTTAACAACTTATCTTTAAACTTTTAAAGTATACTTATGATATGAAACATTATTTTTAAAATGTTTTAGTTACATCTTTGCACATTCACACAAAGGAAGTAAGCCACAATAACATCCCCCAAAAGATACAAGAAATGTAAATATAGCTAAATGTACTAAATCAACCCCTCTGTATCTGTTTATCTTTAAAAATTAGATGTGCATCTACATGACCATATACCACTTCATACACCCCTCATCTCATACTTCTTCAGGGTTTCTGTCCAACCACAACATTCTCATCTATTCCTTCTTCTTCCATGTAATTTGTTCAGCAACTGAATCATTCCACCTCTGATTAAACCACCTCCATGTACTTCTTTTACATAGGACAGTGCTTCTCAACCTTTTCTTCACCATGGACTCCCTTTAAATACCTTTTGTATTCTGGCTATAGACCCCCCAAACTTAACTCAGGATTTGAATCAAAACATTTCTTCAAGCCTTCATGGATCCCCTATGATGACATTACCACCCCACCACCCATGTTCCAAGGGCCAAAGATTTGGAACCACTGATATAGATCACTTTTGATTTTTGTACAGTTCACATTCATTCAACCCCCTATCTCTTCTCATTACACTATACACAATTAAGAAGCCTATCTGCACTTCCTTCAACTTATGTTTCTTCTGATATACTTAAATATAAATTCTATTGGCCATTTTCATGTCATTTGATAAACATTTACTTCAATATTTCCAGCATATTTCTTTCACTTGCCACTTTGATAATATTTTGTCTAGCAGTCCTCGCTTCAGTTTCATCTCAAGCCATTTCATTATATATATTTATAATTCCATTCATTATGCTGGAAGCATCTTGCTTAGCTCTTCAAAAGATGTTTTTTTAAAAAAAAAATCCAGCAAAATCTCTTGGAATTTCTCTGCCTCTTTAAATCTTACTGGTTTTCTTCTTTTTAACTACATTCCTTGCAGCTATCTTTTTATCTGTGTACATAGTTAGTATTTCTACCAAACATCCTTTCAAACACTTCTCCACGTACTCTGCAATTTAATTATTTTTATTTCTTTGCAATCAAGCTACATTTCCTCTTTCCTTAGGTCTCCTTTGCCTTCATTCTATTGGAAAAGCAACCTTTCTCCTAACACCTTTTCATACAGGGCTTACTCTTTCTTTCTCTTTCCACAGTTGTTGTATGTTCACTGTAGCTTTTTTCACTTTTTTCTTTTTCCACTATGATCATCCCGTCCCCTCAAGTTCTATTCCATTCTGTATGGGACTACAGAATTCAGATAGTCATCAAATTATGACCAGTCACTTAGTGACTCTTCAAAGTCACAATGGACCATCCAAAAAGAACTTATGACCTGAATCTATGACGATTGCCCCTGTGGTCATGTGATCACATTTTGGGTACTTGCAACCAGTCTCTATTAAAGGCCATTTGCAGTGTTCTTGGTCACATGAATGCAATTTATAATAGGTTTTTTTTTTTTACTGCTGGAAATCAGTACGTCAGATTCCCAGCAAAAAATGTCATTGCAGACAATAGGTTTGGCTTAATCACTATGGTGTTTGGTTTATGACTGCTGCAAAAAAGTCATAAAATTGTTTCAGTCACATGGGCACATCTACTTAAGACCGACATGACATACCTTAGAGTTGTAAATTGAGGATTACCTTAAAATATTGGTTTCTCTCACATTCAGAATTTTTAAAATCCTTGTACCTTTCATTAATTCTCTCAGTCTTTCATAATACAAAAAGCAAATCAGCCATGCTTTTAGATATATTTTATATATACTAGAGAGATTTATGAGGGTAGTTCTGAAAAAATAATCATGTATTTTCTCAAAAGTAATTTTTAAAACTCATTTTCATACAAATCATTATTCCTAATGTTTTTGAGATACAATCACTGATATTTCAGTTCATATCTACTGTATTAACAGAGTATAAAAGAGATAGAAGAGAAAAAAGCTCACAGTGCGCTGTGTAAGCCACCTATTATGGCAGTAATCCAGGGAACCCCCAAGATCTTCAGTTAGTTGGGCTGTATCAATATAGTTATTTAATTCTGTTAGTGAGCTCAGCATTATGATCTATAAGACAGAAATCACAGCATCAAGTGAATAAAATTAACATGATTTTTGAATTTTTGCTTTGGTAATTTTAGCAAATTTGTAGTCATGAAACTAAATAATAATATTCAATGAAACATGATTTATCAGATAAAGGAAAGTTTTACTCTCAGAACAGCATATAAAATATCTCCTTCAATCAAAGTGGTAATCTTAATAACTAGGAAAAGTTTGACATTTATAGGCCATATAAATAGCAGAAGTTTTTATTCTTATCTAATAGGGCTGGCAATGCTTTAGATTTGATTGAAAAGGATTATTTGCAGGGGTGGGATTCTACCAGTTCGCACCTATTCACTAGAACCGGTTGTTAACATTCTAAGCAATTTGGAGAACCGGTTGTTAGAAGAAATTACTGGCCTAATCCTGTAAGGAAGGCAGGAAGGAAACATTCTGGTGTTGCTTACAGAAACTGACTCTCCGTTAACCCTTATTACATTCTTGGCAGGACTAGACTTCCTGTCTCAGGAACATCTCTGGAGTTCTTTTCCCCTCCTTTGCTGGTACTTTGCTTGGGTGGAGTGACCATTCAAAGTTACAATGGCACTGAAAAAAGTGACTTATGACCATTTTTCACACTTATGACTGTTGCAGCATCTCCACAGTCATGAGAGGCCAGGCGAGGAGATGCGTCCCTCTATGTGAGTGATATTGAGTTGGCCACACCCAGACAATAACATGACCACCAAGCCATGTCCACCCAGTCACATGACCACCAAGCCAGGCCCACCACCTAAGCCATACCCACAAAACCGGTTGTTAAAAATTTGAATCCCACCCCTGGTTATTTGGAGCATTAACAAGAGTAAAATTTTGTTTGGAAGTCTTTAAAGCAGCCACTTCGTTTCCTAGGCTCATGCGGCAAATTCAGAGGACAGGGATATAATCCTGGAAAAAGACAGGGCTGTTTTAAATAACAGTAGGCAAATGCTCTTTTTGTGCTCCTAAACAATCAGATGGGCCTTTCTGAATGATCTATGAATCCTTATAATCCAATATAATAGCATTTAAACTACTTTGAAGAACAGTTCTGAAAATCTCAGAAGTTTGTGCACAGATGTATACTATTTTGACTAATCCTAGAAAGTTCCTGTCTATAAGCATATAAGGCTTGTGTATAAGTTTGACTGACATTTCCCCACATTAATTGCTTTTTACCAAATAATTATATCAAATAAATATTAGCTGCACATGGTTTGACAATGTTTTAGAAGAAGTTTTTTTGACCTCATGTAAACACAGTATATCTCTATTATTCAAAGAGCAACTCATGGCAGCATGAATATAGATAAACTTGTAGCTGCTTTGAAGAGTCCTTTAATTGATATTGAAATTAATATCAAACATTTTAGCCCTTTCAAAGCTTTTTAAAGACTGAGAAAGTTAATAATGAAAAGATTAAAAATTATTTTAAAATGATATAATTTGAAATATACAAAAAGCATGGGCAAATCAGGGATTTTCTTTAAAGTCATCATTTTGTCTACAAAAAAATCTAAAATTTTTTTGTCCATTAGCGATGAAAAAAATGCCTATGCAGAAAGTGTAAGAAAAGTTATATTAAAGACATACTTTTTACTATTTCATTGTACTCATCACAATACAAATTTATAGATGAAAATAAAAGATTAAACACTAACCGGCAGCTTTATTTTATAATCATCTCCATGAAATCTAAAGGCAATGTCAAAGAGAGTTCTATGAAAGAATCCAGTTGGACGCAAAACTAGAACAAGTTGCAAATTTCCTGGAAATGATGTCTAAAATGGTGAAAGAGAATCATCATATTTAACATATTATTAAACAGAATCAACAAATTAGTTTACAAATTACATTACACTTATTTTGTCTTAACTACAAATTAAACTGGACTATATTTTGAACTTCAAAAGATATAGGCAAACTAGGTTTTAATTTCTATGCAGTAATGGAAATGAAAGTAGTTATAAGTCTGTCAACACAGATATTATACCAAGTTATTATTTACAGATCTACAGTCTGAGGTAGGTTCTATAGCTGATGCCATTTTTAATTAAGCTATTGCATCAAATCTTAATCTTTTCTAAAAGTATGATTTGATGTGCTGCCTAAATTGAGCTAGTATATTATTTAATTGATGATATATTTATACTGAACAAAAGAAACTTTGACTCTTTGAAATAACTTATAAAGAATAATAATAAGGTGATAGTGTACTTGAAAAATGCACAAATGTCTTTTTTTCTAGGCATCATCTTTTACTTAAGAACAGGCATTTTATAGATAATAACATGTTGCTTCCCACGAGCTAAGCTATATATATATATATATAGTTCCATTCATCTCTGCCTTCAAAAGATTCTTAGCCTGAGAAACAATCACACATACTTTTTTCCTCAATGGAATTTTTAGTATAAGCAAAAAACATTTTAGGCACATTTAGATTTAAATAAACAAAAAAGCTTTATCTTCTTAATAAAACAGGTTAATCTTACAGAATCATCCCTACAGTTGGATCTTTTGGTTGTAATCAGAAAACAGAAATGCCTCATTATATTTTAGATAAGATATGCGGCGTTTGAGATATGTGTTCCTATGTTGGTTTCTATGAGGAACTAAAAACAATAACAAAAACTGAATGGAAAAAATACAGTAGAAGAAAGTGATTTCGTGATTCATTCTAGTCTAAAAAAACTCAATTAAATTGCAATTTTATTTAGGTTTTAATGAAACTTTATTTCATGCTTGCTGAACAAATCCAGATGTTCTGAGAAACAATGTAGTGTCAATAGACTTCACGCAGAAGTTATTACATTTTAAACTGAGAGCTTCAGACTTTATTTTCTATTTCTATAAAGAATTTGGAGCTGAGAAAGAATTTCTAGAATATCAGTAAAAATACATGTTATACTTCACTGACATCCCCTGGAACATGGCACATTGTCTATAAGCTAACAATGAACTGAAGGGTTCTGAAATGAATAAACTTTGCCATCTGGAAAGATATTGGTTCTGTTTTCTTCACAGCTAACTCATTCAGAGACGATCAAAGCTATGTTTCCTCAAGTTGTTACCTCACCATCTTCCTCCTAAAGCTTTAGAAGCCAATGAACAATAGCTTATCTTTACTTAACATTGACAGATAACTCAAAACCAGTTTTTAAAAATAGTTCCCAACCCACACGAGTCTTTAAAAAAACCAAAAGGCAAACAAATCATCAAGTTCACAAATGCCAACTTAAAACTGGGTGTGGCTTCTGGAACACACCTGCTCTACAGAATCATCTGTAATGAAAAAGAATTAAAAAGTAAAAAGTGGAGGCCATTCTCCTGCTACCCTGCTAGGAAATACATTCCTGAAATAGGTGTAGAACTAAACATCTTTCAGATACAGCATTGTAGAGGACATAAAGGACATAAACACAGGCAGTGTCAGATCACAATGAAATATAAATATTTAGCCACAGGAACTATTCAGGAGCAAGTCTACCTGATTAGGTGGCATTGCTATTAAAATTAGCTCCAACTTCCCTAATCTTCCTTTTTCCAAGAGAGCTTTCTAGTCGATAAATTTTTTTTTTTAACTTTTGGAAAATAAAAAGGGCCATAAAGCTGGAGAAGTTTGAGAAAATACAAAAATTAAAATCATGTACTTTTACAAATTCAAAACTTTAGAAGTGGGACAAACTTGTTTATAAAATGATAATCCAAATACAGTAAGGTTTTCACCTTGGGGAAAAAATCTGTATCAAATCATGGACATTTAAAAACAAGGTTAAAGGCAACAGATCAGGACTGTTTCCTTTTCTATATTTGTCACATACTTTAAAGACAGTAGTTATTATTGAATAACAATAATACAATCTCTTATTATAAGCTGCCCAGAGTTGTTCAAAACATTTATGATTGTGGTCTACAGACCAGAAATGTGTGACTGGTTCACTTCTCCTCCCATTTTTCCATACCCCTTCCTTTCTCCTTCTTCTGATTGAAATAATGATAAACGCTATGCCAGCTGAATCAGACAAACTATTATTGCCACACATCAAGAATTATTCATGATTTAAATGACAGTGGTTTGGTCCTTTGTGGTTTGTACTAATCATGATGTCCTTACCCCAGGTACCTCAAATGGCTGTGAGCATAGATTAAAATAGGGTAATTTGGTCCCAAAGAATGATATTGAGCTAATAGGTAACTTTATTCTGGTCACATCCTAATTGCTACAGCATAAAATGGAATTAATAAGGGAAATTGTCCATTATGGTTATGGTTAAAAAGTGAAAAACTTATTCCGCATCAAAACGGGGATGAACGGTTATTAATCTGTGGTATAAAAACTGTTCATCTCTGCCAACCTGGAGGATGAGACAAGCAGGTCAACCACAATCAATTAACTACTCTCCCAGGACAGCAACTATCTTGTTGGCTAAACTATCGTGAAGCTCATGTCAAGAAGACAGCTGATGAACCCAACTGCTTACGGGAAGGGATAATGTCTCAATAAATAGGCATCAGAATGTCATCAACTTTTTATCTGTCCCCTCTTTCCCTCATTAAAGGGTCATCACTTACTTCAAGTTGGAAAATGAAGATGTGGAATATACCTGAACTAGGTCAAACATTGCTAGACTTGGAAATGTTAATGTTAGCAACTTTAAAAAATCCTTTGTGAGATTCTAATAAAAAATAACTCTATAACTAACTCCAGTGTTCTTGTATCATAGAAATAATAAAAATCTTGAACTTAGAAAATGGGCAGCATTTTCTGAATATTATTCCTTAAATCTCCTTCAAATTTCTGAAAGCCCTGCCTTATTATTGCCTTTAAACAGTGATGGGATTCATTAAATTTAACAACCGGTTCTAATGATTTCTTCCAACAATCAGTTCACCAAACTGCACAGAAACTTAACAATCGGTTCTCCTGAAGTGGTGCAAACTGGCTGAATCCCACCACCGCCTTTAAGTAAACAATTACTACTTCTAGATTTAACACTTTTTTTTGTATATGTAATTATAATACAATTTTCCTTAAATGGAAAACTTAACTAAAATACTTTACTATATAAATGATGTGGCTATTTAAAATGGGAAAAGATGCTTATTTCTAATCCACCGAGAGTCTAAAACTAAAGTGTTGCCTTGATAAAACAATCAGAGATTTTATTTTTCATTCTCATTTTCCAGAAATAACAAATCTAACCATGTATAAATGCATATTGATTTAATACAGTATTTTTCAGTACTAATGAAGCCTCCTTCCAAACCACAAACACATATACAAAGAAAAAAATAACACATGACTAGCATAGTACTAGGAGACTGTTTTTATTGTTTTTCCATCATAGAAATATAAATAAAGTATCAGTTTTAGTGGTAATTGAAGAATTGCTTATAAATTTTATTAATTTCTTTTTATATTCCTCATTATAAACAAAACATATATACAAGTTAGGGAACACAACAAGCATCTTAAAATGTTTTAAAGTTTCAATCCTGTATTAAGCAGTTTATCATGGACAGATATTTGATTAAAAGCAAGACTCTGCAATGAACAAAAACACAATATCAGTAAAAGTTCAGTAATTTGTATGTACATTTACAATCAACAAAACCACAATATTTATATAGATATGATTAAAAATATTCATTGAATTTCTAAATATAATGCAGCAATTTCTACAAACTTCAAAATTTTTTAAAGCCACTTTTATATTACTGCAGATTATTTCTGCTTCTCAAATAAGCAACATTTATTTGAGAAGCAGATAATTTTATAATGTTTCTATATTAAAAAGGCATAGATCCAGGCACTCTGGAAGATAAACATGTTACTCAATTCACATAGATTTGTCAAGGGAAAAAAGCATTAGCTGCACAGCAACTCACCGCAATTCGCATTATAGAGGCCCGCACTGATGTCCATTTATCTTGCCTGCGGTCTATGACAAGGATAAATCCAATTCCAGCATCTTGTGAACTGAGTTGGAAAGGGAGTAGAAAGAGGAAACAAAAAAAGAACTCATTTACCAGATCTTACAGTAAGAATGTCCTATTATACCAGCCCATTAAACTATGTATGTTGATTAATAGATAGAATAAGATAGAATAATTCTCATAAAAACAGAGTCAACAAACATTGCATGCAAGTTCAGCTGCTCAAAACATTCATTACCATTCTTCCTGAAGACCAGGGATTTTATTAATCTGGTATGCTTCTTTATACACATATATCTCTTTTTAACTCATTGGCTCTGTTTCCTTGTACAACCCATCCTTTAAAGAACTATCAATAATGTCCACTCCTGAATAAGAACTATTTTTCCTTAAGTGCACTTTGTTGCTAATATGTAATTTTATATGGAAAGTATTGTAACTTTCATCTTATGAAATATAAGTTTCTAGGTTCTATATTCCTGATCTATCTAAGAAATCTGACATCACTAGCCCCAATTTTTAAAGGATCACGAGAACAAAAATAGAAATTCCCAAAGAGGAAACTGAGCTAAGAAGGAAGACGCATGACAGCCTACAACTGAAAGACACTGAGAAGGAAAGAGGCAGCAAGATATTTCCTTCTTATGCTCTGTTCAGCTGCTTGTGCAAAGAAAGAGACATATTCTTGTTTTCTACTTGAAGATACAAACCCATCATGTAATGTGAAAAGTTGATTGCCAGCCATTTGCAATAGAAATGATAGGCAAGCATAAACCAAAATGACTTGAATGTCTAATTATTATGTATGCTGAGCAGACCGTGTGAAAAAAAGTTGCAATGTCTTTTCTTTATTGGAAGAAGAAACTATGCTACTAAAAAGGAATCTCAGTGATAGGAGAAATACCATTACTTAATTGAGGGATAGGGAATTTTTGTTCTTACCAAATCCTTCATAAACAAGTACAAAATTTCAAAATAATGTAGGAAAATGAAAAATATATTTAATTTTTTTTAAAAGTTTCTATTCATATTAAGACTGTGACTCTCATATCCAATCTGAACTGACTGAAATTGGCATCATGGATAGAAAGTAGCTCAATGGAACACACTTTAAAAGAAACATTACTAGCTATAGGAATTGTGTCATTTAAAGATCGATATAGCTCTACATGCAACTTTCTGAACAACTAGATAGTTTAGCCTCCAGATAAAACTAAGAGTATTGCTAAAAAAATATTACTTAAGTACTTCAGTACCACTCATGGCAATACGATGGCACTTTCACCAATTGCATGTCAATTATTGAACACTTTCCCCAGGCATTTGTTCTGGGAAAACCAGATCCCATCTCCTGAGTTCTGAGTATGTACATTATTTATCAAAATCTTTAGAAACTGCTTAAATCTGCTTTTTTTCTTGTTACTTTCAGTTATTAATTTAAAAGTCCAATGAATACAAAGTACTTCTTATGAGCAAATATCTCCATGAAATTACTAAGAATAGGCATATCAGACTCAAAATATTAAAACACGCAACATCTTTGCTCTCACCTTGGTAGTACAGTCTCCTAACTTGTTTCTCTTTGGAACTTATTGAGCTGATTCCCAGGTCTAATGGCATATTGAAAGTAATTTAGAGATGCAGAAGGAAATAAGGAATCACTCATACATTACATTCATTAGTTTGAGAAAAGAACCAGTTGCAATGGTTCTAGTATGAAGGATTGGATTCAAATGTTTAAATTATCTGTTTTTGAAAAAGAAATTTTATTTACTAAACAAAAATGACAAAAGTAATTTTCTTCAGGGGTAGATTTCATGAAATTTTATGATATCTTTGTTTAGATTTAGAGATGTTTATGTAGTGTTTAATATTTGAAAGCGCAATATATGTAGAATGTTTGTAATCCCTTTTGGTCAGGGTGGTTTTTTTTTTTTTTTGGTTTAGCTTGTTTCTGTTGTCTTTTGTTGGTTTTGAAAAAATTATTTGTTCTTCTTCTTTATTGTTCTGGTTAAAAAATTAAAGAAAACAAACTCCTACTTCTAGTTTCTTTCGAATAATAATATGCCTGTTGTGGTTAGCCGGCAGCAGGTGTGGAGGGCTGAGGACTCAGATGAGGGGCCAGGACCATTAGGGGGTGGACTGCTGCCTTCAGAGATTGTGGGGGCTGGCAGCAGCGATGAGGAGGCTCCCGAGGAGCCTGTGCCAAGTGCGCTTGTGCTCAGGGCTACTCATAGGAAAGAGCAGCTGCAGCAGCATGGGTGATTCAGGAGTAAGGCTGCAAGGTAATGGCCCCTCCTTCAAGAAGATAAAACCAGCTGTGAATTGGACATTCTTTGTAGGAAACAAAAACGTTTTGAAACTCCAGCCTCGTGGACATCGCAGTATCTTAAGTGGGTATTTGAAGACTCCTGTGTTGTAAAATATTTCTTATCTGTTATTCTTGGCAGCCTTGCTTAACAAAGTTAATTAGTTTGCAGCAGCCTTTTAACCAGGGATTCGTAAGAATCATTAAAAGGTTTCTGTTCCCTTTGGTTCGTGTTTGTTTTATTGGAAAAGGGTTTGGATCAGAACAATGCCCTGTTTTATATTGACAATGTTCTATAATTGTCTATCCTCCATTAAACTTTCCTCTGCCCTATATTTCCTAGCCAAAAATGTTACAAGACTCTGCATTCTATTAATCAAAAATTTGGGGGTACTTTTCAGTAGATTGTATAGATTGTTCAACTGTAGCTGTGAACCTTACCTGGGAATATTAGTGAGGTATGTCAAAACACTTTGAAACTCCTTTTCTGGAATTTCACTAAATGTAGAGAATTCAGGAAAAGTGATGACAGGACAGCCATTTCTTCCTCGTCCTCCTAGAAAGAAAAGAATTTCATTCCCAAAATAAATCTTACCATGTTATTTAAAAGGACTAATATGAAACCAGATGAATTGACTGTTACTGATTGTTTGTAGTGACAACCTCATCCAGTGGGATCAAAATAAAAACCAGTGTTGTAAATACAAAATGGAAACAAAGACACAAGTTATATAAATGATTTTTTTGCAAAATTAGAGTAGTTTTGCCTCACTGCCCAAAAACTTCACTTCAAAAGAGAATATGATGGATTCGATTTGAGTAAGATAGTAAATTCTAAAATATACTGTCAAAGCACAATTCAGATCAGGCTGTATCAATCTGTCTTGAAACAGAGTGGAATATTGTATTATAAAGTAGGAGAACAATATGTGTCTCTCCAATATCAGTGTTTGCATATCTCTGGATTGCTACATTTTTTACTCCTGTTTGGGATAGTAGAGAAATAAAAGATATAAAAAGTATTTTATCAATAAAGGAGAATATTTGTAGTGGTCACTGAGCTTGCTTGTTTTCTTGCAGATGTTTCATTACCCTAGCATTTTATCTTTAAAATATAAAAGGAATGAAAATCAAACAGAAATATTAGAGATGAAACGAATATAAAATCAAAAAGGAAGAATTTAAGCTGCAAGCATTTGCAGATGATCTGGTTTTCATCTTAGAAGACCCTTTAGAAACAGCATCAAAATTGATAGAAAAGATAGAGACATATAAAATTTATCATTTTTAAATTCTTTTTATTACTGAGATCATTTTTAACTTGTTTTAGCAATGCAACAAACTTTAGTTAGCAGGGGCTCTGTGCTTCTCAGAGTAATGTGAGCTTGCAGCTGCTTCTTCCTTTTAACTGCTAGTGGGGGTATGACTTGATGGGGTGGTGGCTTGGCTGTGTCCTGATTGGGTGGGGTGTGTCCAATGAGAACACACCCCCACCCAATCAGAACACAGCCAAGCCCCCACCCAATCAAGTCACACCCCCACTAGCAGTTAAAAGGAAGAAGCAGCTGCAAGCTCACATTACTCTGAGAAGCACAGAGCCAAAGACACAAGCCTGAAGATGATGAATGAGACTTCATCGAAACGTTGCCTAGATACTTCCAATTTTACGTGGGAGAAAACCTGAATAACCCAAGATTCACATACAAATACCCGCGAGAACCTCAGAAAACATATATATATGGCTTCGTGCTTGTGCAAGCAAAGCGTGATTGGAGCTGCCGTCTCTCTATAAATTCTGGTAGGGAGGTTGGCTGTGTTATCATTTCTTGATTAGTTGATGGAGTTGATGTCTGCAGATTGGCTGGCTTTTTCGTAAGAACATGTGTGGCTGTGTGTCTATCAGCCACCTGTGTTGTAACGACCTGGGTAATGGGCTGTGTGATGACCTTCTGAGTTCTATTGTTTTGACATCCTGGGTCTTGTGCTGTAATCTCCTGGGTCGTTGGCTGTGTTGTAAAGTTATATTTTCCTCCCCTAGCTTTTCTGGATGCTTTTATCCTACTTCTATACTTTTGATTTTTCCTGAAGGGGATCACAGAAAAGGAAGATTAAAAGCAGAAGGATATTTTATGAAGGGGCTCTGAAGGACTGCTTAAGAAAGACTTGGAGCTCAAAGTTTAATCTTATGGCAAAATACTCAGCTGTTAGATACTGTTGAAATCAAAGAGAGAGAAATCAATAGAAAGAAAAGAACCACCAAGTGCACTAGAGAAGAACATAAGAAAGGAAGTACCAACTGAAAACTAAAAAAGAACTTTAAAAGGGAAGGGAAGAGAGAGAAAAAAATCTTCTGAAGATAAGACCAGGTGAGGATAGTTAGGCCTAAGAAAAGGCAAGTGGAGTTTCTTTCAACATTAAACTTCATAGGGACAAAGGAACAACATTATCATCAAATTTGTAGTACCCTAGAAAATAAATGGGATAAATATATCCATAATTAAAGGTGTGCACAGTAAACAAACAATGGAAAGATGGAAAAAACACAGAGAAGGATATTATGGTCTGATGATCAGTGAAGGTGAATTATAACCATGGGAATCCAGCAAAACCAAGATGGGATGATGCAAGTGTCCAGTTCTTCTTAATCTCTCAGCAGCTTTCATGGTAACCTTCTGGACTGATTACAGGGTTTGGGAACAGGAGGCACAGTGTTGCACTGATTCTGCTTTTTTCTTGGCCAATGCCAATCAGTATTGACAAGAAGGAAGAGGTCCAGCCCAAAACTCTGCTTTGTGAGAGGTGCCTCAGATTTCCATGCTCTTCCCATTCCTGTTCAATAGGATGTCTCTGGGTAAGATAGCATGGGTTAGGCATCATCAGTATGTTGCTGTTGTATGTGTCCACCTTCAAATCACTTTTTGACTTCTGGTGATTGCCTGGACCAGTTGCTGCATTTTTCTTGGCAAGAAATAGATTGCCATTGTCAGATTCCTAGGGCTGAGAGAGACTGACTGGTCCAAGGTCATCAGCTTGGCTCCATGCCTAAGGCAGGACTGGAACTTACGACCTCCTGGTTTCTAGCCTGATGACTTAATCATTAGACAAAACTGGCTGCCCATGCTGACTTTAACAGTGGCATATTTTGACCCCTGGTTGTAAAATGATGCTGTTGTAGTCTTGGATCCATAAGGAAAAGAACAACTTTAACCCTCATAAGACAAAATTGTTATATATACATCTTACTTCTGGTCCCAAAGATTCTCCATCTCAATGAGGTGATAATTTGGGGCTCCTGGTGGACTCAAAAGCACTTTCCCTAACCAGGATGGTTGAAAATTAAATTTAAGTCCTGTTACATTCCTCATATATAGGATGCTCAGGTTGGGAATGATGGCGTATAATAAAAGGACTTCAAAATGTCACTTAGTGAGGTTATAATCTTTAATTCCCACACCCAAGATAGAAGAATATTAATTTTTGTGAAAAAATCATTGTAGAAATTTCATTGATTGGATTTCCACCCACTATTTCAGTCTTGATATTTTAATACGTTTTATTAAAGGAATTAAACAAATAGGATGATTACTAGGAAAAGAGATGATCTTACATATACTTATTAGAAGAAAGTCCAGTAGAATTTTTCTAATTCTTACCTGAAAGATATGCAAACTTTTTTCTTAACTCATCTTCAATATCTTCAGCACAGAGGGGAACAATATCCTGATGCATGATTTCATCTAAAACCAAACATACCCCCAAAATCAATTCCATGGAAATTGGGATTGAGTAATTTTTGAACTTTTGAATAAAAGTTCATATTTACATCTTTCTTTACTAAACTGCTTTATGATTTCACAACAGTGCTCAATATCAGGTTAAATCCTTTTATACAACCAAAGGTATATATGGTACTAAAGTGGGCAATGTTAAAATATAAGTATTAACAACATACAGTAATGCCACCCACAGTATTGTAAGGAGTCTAATGCTCAGATTAGAATCAGAAGTTGGCAAAAGTGTTCTAATATGAGATGTCATAAAGTCACATGTTGAAAGATGAATTCCATAAGCAAAATGATTATTCTTACACGAAACAATCTCCCACCCCACATCCATACTTACAAAGCAAAACACTCACTCATTAAATGTGTTTTAGTTAGCAAAGAGTCCTTCAATAAGGAAAAATGATAATTTATATACACTGGTGCTATTCAAGCACATTTATATGTACATGAAACTATCATGTTCTATCAATGCATTAGCTCAGAAAATCCACATAGATTAAGACACAGTGTTTCAGTTTACTACTCCTTCTAAATGCACATTTTGCTCATGTTTGAAAAAGATGTGGTCCAAATAGGTCTATACGTACAAAGTCCCAAGATTCTAGTGGTATCTCTTTTCACTTTAAATTTGCAACCATCAAGGTTGAAAGCTTCCTTCAACAACCAAGAAAGCAAAAAAAAAAAGAAAAAGAAAAAAAAGGTAAAATGTAGTTATGTACTCTCTCTCACACACACACTGTATTGCCATTTAGGGCACACTCATTAAAGGCCTGCTATATTTATTATAAGTGTATGCTCTTATGGATGAATTCTTGATGCCAGAAAGTCCCTTAACTATTAATAATACAACCAAGGTACAAGAAAACGAAAATAAAAGGAAGAAAGAAATCCCACAAGTTAGAATGTGACAAATCTTATAATATGGAATATGCACAGAAATAATTCAGATATAAAACTGGCTTAAATAGATACTAATATAAACTTATTTTACTTTAACATCTGAGTGAAAGATCAAGGAATTTGGACTTATTAGTTTCGGCTATTCCTTTTAAAACTATTTAGAAGAGTTAGCTGGAAAAGTTGCTCTATTGCTTCTATTAACGGACAAAAATAAAATAGTAAGTCTGGAACACAGACCTTAGAAAGAAAGAAAAAATCTTAAGATTGTATGTAGGAGTTTCTAAAAAAATATTTGCCCTATTATCCCTAGCCATTTTTAAAGTGATTAAATAATTCAGGATAATTTATGGTGGACATTTTATTTGCTTTTCCCAATTATTTACAGGTGGTTATCATAATAACTTGATCTACTCATCTGTTCCTGTGAATTTGGGACACATAATCAGTGGTTTATGATACTTTACATTATCCTCTATTATGATGCTATGATTTTCATGCAGCATTTGTTCATTCATCCATCCATCCACACATTCACTCCAGTCCTTCAATTTTTATAGCCACAAAACTCAAACAAGTGACCTTGGGTGGCTTACATTTCTAAAATTATAAAACAATTACAACAATGGAAAAATATTAAAATAATAAAAACATACACAAAAAATATTATCAAATTATGGTCGAAGCATTTTAGCAACATAGCTAAATCTTGTTCTATCATCTGTGTACATTGGTTCTGGTGAGGGCAAGCCAATGTGTTCTGGTTTGATAGAGAATAGATTTTTAAAATATTTTAAAAATGAAGATATTATAGATGGCATTTATGATAAATCCCTGTCTATTCAGTTAGCAGTAGTAAGCTGTGCTGCTAAAGTATATCTATAGAGCCTACTCTATTTCCATTATTGATCACCTATTATGAAGGTAAATTTAAATGAAATTTTAAGTTAGCACCACCTATAAATTTATTTTAAAAAAACACTGAAAATGCATTGTAATTATTTTCATCATACTAAAGTTTAATTCTTAGCTCTGATTAAGGATGTTGGAAATCACAGCTCAGCAAATCTGACAAGTCATGTTGTATTCCCCGCATGAATTATAGACACTTATTAAAACAGAAACTACATAAAAACATTAAAAAGCAGAAGTAGTGTGTCATGAGTTTGTGGCATGACAAATCTATGAATTTAAGGGGGAGAATAAAAGTGATAGGGAAAGTCAGTATTACAATACATTTTTTTGATGTAAGCAATATGTAAAACACAGCAGTTTTGAAACCAGATTTTCTGGTTTCAGTTTCTTTCACTGGGTGTGGTATTTTACACTTGCTCTGGACATATTGCACGGGGAATGAAAGAAATATTAAAGAGACAGTAAGACAGGTACAGTACAGGAATACAAATCTTACATTTATGAACATGGGGGCTGATAAATGTAACACCAATTAACCAGTTTTATTACCTTAGATAAACTCATCAGTTAAGTGCTACTGAATCTATAAATAAAAAATACCAATAAAAGGGCTATTTTTGTACAATTATATGGAGTAGTTTGATAATGTAAGCATAAATTATATCTTCTTTTGCAACTTCATTAAGCTACCTACAGTAGAGATGTACCATGGACAGCACCACTGCCACAATATTTAAAAGAACAATATTTTCATACAGGAAACTGAACATTTTTAAAGATGGATATCTATACATATCATAAAAAAGCAGTACCACTATTGCAAATATCCATGAAATCTTTAGTAGCTTTCAAGATTCCCTATGCAGAAAAAGAGAAATTTTGCTTACACATATAACACACATATACGCTTAACACATATAACACACATGGAAACAGAGATTTATTGGAAAGAACTCTGATTGTTAATTTTGAGGGAATTATCAAAAGCCCTAGGTTGATAAAATTTAACATGTTGACGAGAATGGTGAGATAAGACAGAGAGCAGCCACAGAGAAAGGATCTGATTACAGTGATCTTATTGTTTCACAAGGGATTCATCTATAAAAATTATAGCTCAATCCTATATAAGGAATATGGGTAGTCCTTGACTTACAACAGTTTGTTTAGTGACTGTTGAAGTTACAATGGCACTGAAAAAAACAATTTTGGACAGTTTTTCAATTACAACCACTGCAGCAGTCCCATGGTCATGTGATCAAAATTTGGCTGCTTGTAAACTGGTTCATATTTATGATGGTTGCAAGTGTCCCGAGGTCAACCCTAACCCTTTTGTGACCTTCTGACAAGCAAAGTCAATGGGGAAGCCAGATTCACTTAACAACCATGTTACCAAACTCACAACTGCAATGATTCGCTTAACAATTGTGGCAAGAAAAGTTGTAAAATGGGGCAAAACTCACATAACAAATGTCTCACTTAGCAACAGAAATATTGTGGTCATAAGTCAAGAACTACCTGTAACTGGATGGAAGAATATTTGAGGAGGAATTTAAAAGGGGCATATTCACTGATTGTTACAGGGCGGTATTGATTAATTTCTGTCATTTAACTTAGTTTCAGACAAAATGGGAGGAGAAAGACTATTGACCTCACCCCTTTCCTAAGAGGTCTCTAGGGGGCGTGCATAAGCGCACCAACGTGCCTACCGTCCCTGTCCTATTGTTTCTTTTATTTTTCTTTTATTTTTCTTATATGTACCCATTTCATGTATTCATAACTATGTATACACTTATACTTATTATCTTGTAAACAATTGACAAATCAAATCGAATAAAAAGAAAAGAAAAGAAATGAACTGGGTATTTTTTCCCTTGGATTACCAAATGAAGATTAAATTCATCCCTCTCTTTCTCTGTTGGCTATGACTTAACTACATTTACAAATTGCCTGTGAGGTATTCTTTTGAGGGAAGTGTTACATAAAAGCTCTCTCTCTCTCTCTCTTTCTCTCATCAGTGACTGAAATAAATCTAGTGACAGAAATATAAACGCATATTATTACCTTGCATGGCCAAGATCAGTTGCTAGTACTGTTAACATTCTTTAACACTAGGTACTACCAATCAATAGTTATTCTTTGTCCATAGTAAAGCACCAATCAAGGGGCATCAGGAATAGAAAATGCAACAGGAATGCTGAAAATGAGGTCCTATGTATGTAAAACATAACAGCAATACTAGAAGGGAAAACACTTTTCCCCATTTATTCTTGTCAACTCTAGTTTGAGAAATGATTTGGCTACAGCTCATTGCTGCTGTCTAGATCTTGGTCTTGGAACCAAAACTGGACAAGTTTCAAGCAAGTTATCTGAACGCAAAAAGTGAGGGTTTTCTCACTCGCACATTGTCCCCCAGACATATGGGGGATCTGGTTCTGCTACTTATTAAGCAGGAACATTAAGTTATTTTCCTAACATGTTAACAAAAGTTTCTCTCCTCCTTCTGTTCTTTTGGATCACTGAAAGTAGAATTCCCAGAATATTCAGCTATGTAGGAAGTGACCAGCTAGGAAATGAATTATAATAAGTCATAAACATATCGGAAAGACATTTTGTTGGGAAAGGCAGCAATTAACTTCCCATTAGTAACAATAAGGATGCTCTTAAAAGTATTTTTTATGATTTTTTTTAAAGCTGTCAGGAATCTTCGAATTCTGTTACTAAATAAAGAAATGCAAAAAAATTAATAAATAAGAAAACACTATTCCTTGCACATTTTTTGCATTCTTAACAAAAGAGATATTGGACAGCCAAAAAAACCCTAATGACAAAATATTCTATTTTAAGTGCATAAAACACATATTTGAGAATCATGTCTTCGAAGTGAAATACTATTCAGAAAATACAAGGAAATCCCTTGTAATAGACTACAGCATGAATCTTTCATTTTAGTTAAGAATGTTCACTATATTATGACTTAAATACATAGCATTCATCATCTACAAATGGGAACTGAAGCCCTGAGGCCCATCTTTAATTTTGTATTCCTTTGGGCTCCATCTCATCTCCACCAGCAGCTGGGTCTAAAACTCTCAACTAAGGAAGCTGTAATTAGAAAAAGATTAGATTGTAGGAATCTTCAT